TATAGATATATGTGCTAGTAAATCTGTTAATCTGGTCATGGATCATAAATAGAAAAACTACCCAGAATTCAGCTGATTTCCTATTTATAAACTTCCTATCTGAGAGATAACTGTGGCATAATTTTGAACTTTAGCTTCACCAAAGCTGCACAAATTTCCTGAATGTGCAACAAAACTTTTACAACAACCCAGCAGAGGTCATGTATTAAACTACATATATTCACAAAATTAACAAATTTGATTTGTCAGCATTCTTTTTATTCACCAGCAAAATGTAGAAATGGTAAAGACGATATGATTTTCTGCAGTAACCAAACAAATCTTTGAGGTGAATAAAGATTTATAACTAGTTGTATAGTAAAAATGACTGATTAATGTTATTCAAACCACTGAAAAAGCTCATCCTGGACCTTGTTTAAAGAACATTTGCTGAATGTTTAATGGCAAACCTCTTAAAATGTGTAATAAATAAGCAACTTTTAGTAAAGCATGGCAACTTTTAACATTGTTTAATGGAATTTCAGGACATTGTCCATTTCCAAAGTTTGACATTTTAAATTGCTGTAACTTAACCCACCTACATGATCTTGGTAATATTTGAAAGATATTTTAAAGCTCAATTTAAATCATTTATTTTAACACAAACCTTTGTTTTAAAAAATGCATATCTAATCTACAGTATTTGTACAAAACACAATAGAGCCGTATGAGTGAAAAACCTTTAAAAGTGAGTTGTGAATGTTAAAAATACAGTCAACTACAGTGCGTGCGGTGGGCTTGTCTTGTAAATACGACGTTAACTAAAATCATCACGACTTCAGAAAAGATACTGACCGTGTCCAGCTTGGAGCACAGAGACGACCCAGGCCAACACAAACAGCTGAAAAGCCCTCTCATACTCCATGATGACGACTGCGCGACAATAAATAAAGACGGCTTCAAGAAAAAGGCGAGAATCACGACAGTTAGCTTGTGTTAGCGTAGCAAGCTAATATCACCACTAGCGTTTGCTAGTTTGTTTCCACACTCAAGAGAAAGAGGTTACTACTTACCTAAGCTGCTAAACACGAAGCATCTTAATTTAAAAAAATGTTAAACAACGACAGAAAGAAGCAATTTACGTCTGACTCATGTATGTTCCGACTGTTTTCCTTTAGAACCACCCACTTCCCGTTAAGAAAAAGTTATAGTGCAATAATGTTGCTGAGCGGCGCGTTTGAATACGATCACATATCATATGGATAGGTCTAAGTTATTTTAGGTTCAGGGGCTTGCTTTACTGTCGAGAGCTTAGGAGTCTGCGTAAACGCTCGGAGGAAAATACTGCTCGCTAATTGGATAAAATAACCGTCCGTCAAAAGCCTTTAACCAATCAGAGATCAGTATTATTTTACGTGCGCTGTTTGTGTCCTTCACTGTGAATTTCCAGTATGTCTCCGCCTCTCTGGTTACAGGAATGAATACAAAATCTTAGCCGTCAGCTATTCATACACATGCAAAAGAGGCTGACAAGTACAAAGATTGCTCAACTTTATAAAAATTTAAATATGTACAATGTCTGTAAAGGCGTACAGTTTTGTTCAAGGAAGGGATAACAAAGACAAAAGTAGCTATGTTTGTGATGTGGCCTGCCTGTTATAGTTTTTATTTTCACACCTTTGCCTTGCTTTTTTTACTTTTCTAGTGTTAAGCGATTTATCATAGTCGCCTTATTGATGAAGTTTTTTGTTTTTATTTTTTTATATATAAACCTCATAAATAATTGTGACAAATGTGAAATAAGAAAAAGTAAAATAATAAAGGAGTAGTGTTTGACTTAGAACTAAACCTAACTCCTGTTCATAGTTTATTGATGATATACATAGACATAGTATTAATGTCTATGGATAATATATACTATTTTGCTGCAGAAAGAGATGCTGCAGTTCCACTAGAATATGAAGGTCTCCAGTCAATGACTATACCACCCTGCAGCTTGGTTATGGTATTCATGTGCGATCTGTCTTTTTGCTCCTTGTTATTTTGAGCAGAGATCATGAGATTTTTTTCACAGCCTCCACTTCATGTTCTGTCTGGTGTGGCAGACCACAGTCTCTACTGTGATAAGTATACCAGTGGCGATTTTATCCTCTTTTTGGGGTTGCTCAAACACCCCTAAATTTGATCAGCACCCTTGAAAAATAAAGTAATTTTTTTTATTTTATTTATCTTTGTTATTATTATTTTGTTTAGGCGGTTTTGGGTTTGGGTTCAGTTTATTGCATTTATGAGTCAATGCAACAAAATAAACTATTTTAAAAGGTAACAGATCATTGTAGTACTTACTTTATTTACATAATGACTTTAATTGCTGGATGTTCGGCCCCTGAGCTGCTGGTTTTCAGAAACTGTGGCCCCTGAGCAGTTTAGTTGAATATCTCTGCTTTAGAGGGTGGAATACAGTTTAGTTCATTTCCAAAACCTAAACTGAGTCTGGAAAAATGTAAAAGATGACAACCTCATGAGCAGCTGATTACAACAGTTATAAATAGGAAGTACTGCATGTTCATCTGTATGAAGGTAACTTCAAGTAAATCCTCCATTTTTGTCATAATTACATTGTACAGTACGATTAATGGTTAAATTAAAGGTTAATGCTTAAAGCTAGTTTTACGAGTCCTAGCCTTCCTGTACTCCTGTCTACTTTATCTCTCACGA